CTTACAAGCTTCCAAATCTGCACAGCCAGGGGACAGCCAGGGAACTAGGAAAAGAGTGAAACGTGATACACTTTTAAGTTTTGTTGCATAGACTGCGTAGATTACATGTTTCAAACCATAAATGGTGTTGAGTGCATTGCAAGGAGTTATACGGTACCTTTAATAATAATAAGTTTAATAAATTTATTGTGGCATCGGCTTTCTTTTTTTTTCCTTTTTTGATAAAAATTTTTTTTTATTCAAAATTATAACAAGACATATTATCCAAAAACGTATCATCCTTGTTTCCCCCCCCCCATTTTTCCTCCCTCCCCCCTCCCACACAAACCCCACCCCCCCCCCCCCCCCTGACTTCCCTCAGTTCCAGTCTTTGGTTTCTCTAAGAATGCTGTTTTCTGCATGTTACAAAGTTGTATAGATCCTCAAACTATTTAGCTGATTATTATCAATAAAAAGTTTGTGAATGTTTATTCAAAACCTGCCAAGGAGTCCAGTTCGCTTTGTTGGGTCTTCAAATACTTTGTAAAGGGTTCCCATTCATCCTTAAAGTCACAGTTATCCTTGTCCCGTAGCTTATATGTCAGTTTTGCCAGTTCTGCATAGTCCATCAATTTTTCTTGCCATGATTCTTTAGTTGGGGTTTCTTCAGTCTTCCATCCTTGTGCTACCAGAACTCTCGCGGCCGTTGTCGCATACATGAAGATGTTTTTCAACTTTTTTGGCAGGTCTTTCCCTACAATCCCCGACAAAAATGCCTCGGGTTTTTTAACAAATGTTAAATGGAACATTTTCTTCAATTCGTTGTAAATCATTTCCCCAAAATTATTAATTACCTTACAATCCCACCACATATGATAAAATGTCCCCTCCTTTTCCTTACACTTCCAACATATATTTGAACTAGTTTTGTACATTTTCCCTAACTGCACTGGTGTTGTGTACCATCTGTACATCATCTTCATGTAATTCTCCTTCAATAGGGAACAATCTGTAAATTTTAAGTCAGTTTTCCATAATTTAACCCAATCTTCCATCATAATGTTGTGCCCTACATCTTGTGCCCATTTAATCATAACTGATTTTACCTCTTCATCTTTCGTCTCCCATTCTAATAATATGCTGTATGCGGCCTTCAGTAGTTTCACTTTCCCTTCAATCACTTCCGTTTGAAACCTAGATCTAGTATAACTAAATCCTTTCCTTTCTTGCTGTCTTCTTTATGTGTGGCATCGGCTTTCTTAGGCTGGAATCCACTCCATCGGATGCAAGCACCTGAGCTGAACACACTAGTTCCTCTTGTGCGTGTTCCTTTGGAAATTAAACAGCATGTAAATTAATTAGATCCATAGAATCACAGAGTTGGAAAAGCTCAAAAGGGTCATTTAGTCCAACCCCCTGCAATGCAGGAATCTCAATCAATGTGATGATGAAGATGATTATGGTGACGAGGATGATGACGTCCGTATTTTAAAGAGGAAAACATTCGGCACAAAATTCCTTTACGAAAAAGCAGCCCTGGAAATGTCAATGATCCATTGCAGTAGCATTGCTTCGTTCAAAATAGAGAAATATGGACTTCGGGGTGAAGTTACACAGGACCAGTGATTCTCCCCCCCCCCAAAAAAAGGTGAAATTGTTACACTAAGTCTCCAGGGGATGCCAGGAAACAGGGAATTATGTCCACATGTGCTGGGGGTGTAAATATGTACGATTTTCTGGCAAAGGGTGTTTGAGGAAATAACAGAAATCACTGGGTTAAAGCTGACCAAAAGTCCAGAGGTAGCATTATTAACAATTTACGATGGGGTGGAAGGTTCGCAAGCTATGAAGGAGAAATTTATTGACAGCTGCACAAAATATGATAGCTAGGAAGTGGAAGGGACAGGCAGAATACAAAATGGAAGAATGGTATGAAGAGGTGCAGGATATAGCCATTAATGATAAATTAGCATGTGCCATTAAGGTAAGATGGGGAATATGAAAGAGAAATGATTTTGAGGAGATATAGAGGGTGTAGAATTTGTACTGGTTAAATGGAAAGGGGTCAAACCATCTCAAGAAGTGTTGACATTTTGGGAGGCTGGATAGTTACAATGGAATGGTCTCAGTGGTGGGGTGCACATTTTTATTCTTATTTATGTATGATTATTACTTTGTCAAAGAAAGAAAGAAAGAAAGAAAGAAAGTCTCCAGGTGACTTGGGGCAGATCTGAACGTTTGACAACAGCCACATTCACCACCCGTGGAGGTGCTAAAAAATACGGCAAGCTGTTTCCTTAGCTAGTCTGGGGGTTGCCCCTGGTTCTGGTACAGGTCAAATAAATGAGCCCCCGCCTCCCTCGTTCTCACACCAATGTGCACATATGCAAAGGTAGAGGCCTAGCTGGAAAGCTGAAAGCTCACCATTGCCTCATATATTTGATGGCTGCTATGGAACTTGTTATTATGGCGTGGGGTTTTATGCTTACATTTTGATCCTATGATTTGGGTTAGGAAGATATGCAATGAATTAAGCAGGGTTGTGGTTGTTGTTTAGTCATGTCCGACTCTTCGTGACCCCATGGACCAGAGCACACCAGGCACTCCTGTCTTCCACTGCCTCCCGCAGTTTGGTCAGACTCATGTTTGTAGCTTCGAGAACACTGTCCAACCATCTCGTCCTCTGTCGTCCCCTTCTCCTTGTGCCCTCAATCTTTCCCAACATCAGGGTCTTTTCCAGGGAGTCTTCTCTTCTCATGAGGTGGCCAAAGTATTGGAGCCTCAGCTTCACGATCTGTCCTTCCAGTGAGCACTCAGGGCTGATTTCCTTCAGAATGGAGAGGTTTGATCTTCTTGCAGTCCATGGGACTCTCAAGAGTCTCCTCTAACACCATAATTCAAAAGCATCAATTCTTCGGCGATCAGCCTTCAGGGTAGAAGTGCTAAAAATCAGGTGTTTTAATAACCAAGAACTCACCTCGATTCCCCCTCCTAGACAGAGAGAAGGTGATTAAGGGTATCCAGGTAGAAGATTATAAGTCTGGAAATTTATACCATGAATGGTGAACCTTTGCCCTTCCAGATGTTTTTGGACTAAGACTCACATCTTCCCCAACCATTGGCCATGGTATCAGGGACCAATGGGAGTCAAACTACCACAGCATCTTGACAGCTACACATTCTGTGTCCCCCCCCCCTTGTTGCCTCTTGCTGTCGTTCTTTGTCAGTACCAAAGATAAGGTAAAGGCTCATTGAAATTTGCCAGGCACCCTGATTTCTACAGTCATATATGGTTTCTTTTTTCTATCCTTTATCCTGTTTGGTCACCGTGAAAGCAAGCTCCATTTTGTATTATTATTCCTTTGCAGCAGTGTGGCCCACTTGCTTTCAACTACAACGTTTACGTTGATGAAATTGTTTTAAGGCAAACATTCTGGACTGTCGCTAGCTAATTTCTCTTTTAATATACACAGATGAAACACAATGGAAGGCAATGGAACAGTGCCAATTTACACCAGTTAGGTATTTTGGCCGAGAAGTCACGAAAGAAAATGAGATCCCTCGTTTTTATTACGCAGTATAACCTTGGTTTATATCTAAGTGACACCTCATTTCCTTTTGGCAGCTTATTTAATTTGGCAATTGTTTACTTGGGGAATAAACACACACACACACGCATATATATATATATATATATATATATATATATATATATATATATTCAACCCTTCACAAAGTCAAAAAGGACAATGCACAGCCTTCCCCTTAGATTCCTACAGAAGCATTTACACGAGGTCGGAGCCAGCAAACACCTTAGAATATATTTGCTCAACGCTCATCTCAGTTTGGCTGAGATCACTTCAGTTATGTACACTTCCTTTAGCTTTTCTGCAGCCAAAATGCCGCATCCAGAGGCACTGAGAAAATCCAGCTATGTTTTAATAACTTTTATGGCCACCGTTCATTCGGGGGGGGGCAGAATCAGCTATGTTTTAATAAGTTTTATGGCACCATGTATTCTTGTCTAAATAGACAATTCTGTTTGTCATCAGAGTGGGTGGCGCGATTCAGCGGACAACAAAAGGAGCCCACCTCAAATTCAATTAGTTTTTCTGTGTTGTTTTCCCATCGCGCTTCAAAGTCCAGCCCTAAGTTTCACTGCAATTCTGGAAACTGTGTGAGAAAATGATATTTCAGCAGTATTTTAGCTGGACACCACTGGATCTAATTTATGTTTCTGGAAGGGTATGAAACAGCCAAAAATCAGCCTTGCAGGAGAATTCCCTACAGTCTTCTCAGAGGTCACTGTCAAACCACCTCCTCTTATGAGTAGTTGGTTTTCCCAGAAATCTTTTCCTGAAAAACAAATTGAAATTTCTCCTTATCTCATTTTGATTAAGACTGCTCCTCGGGGATTAGGTTTGGATAGATTTTTTGAAATATGACTAGTGCTTCACTGAATGTTCACCTAGAAAAATTGGCAGGGGGAGGGGGGAAAATCACTTCTAAAAAAATCAAGCCTATACATATCTTGTTTGCATGCTACTCCCTGCCGGTTCCCAGTGGTTTATTTCCTCTAACTGCAGCTTCATTTTTTAAAATAAAAGACTTCTTGCTGTACAGTGGTACCTCAGGTTAAGTACTTAATTCGTTCCGGAGGTCCTTACTTAACCTGAAACTGTTCTTAACCTGAAGCACCACTTTAGCTAATGGGGCCTCCTGCTGCCGCCGCGCCGCAGGAACACGATTTCTGTTCTCATCCTGAAGTTCTTAACCTGAAGCACTATTTCTGGGTTAGCGGAGTCTGTAACCTGAAGCATATGTAACCTGAGGTATCACTGTAATTTCGATCAATCTGGGATCAGGCAGGCAACTTGATGATGTCATTTCATATTGTAACAAGGTAGAATCAGCAATGCCACAAATCAATACGATACAATAGGATAGTCTTTATTGTCCCATACAGAACAACGATATTGAAAATCTACATCAGACATTCAGAAACTAACAAGCCTGCTATCCCAGCCTGGTTAGCCCCCTAAAAACTCTGATACCCCATAATTAAATACAATATACTCCCATAGAGACTACCTTACACTGCGTTTAAAACCAAAATCGCATTTAAATAGAAACTGTTTCTCAGGCGGCTAGTCCAGAGTGAGGGGGAAAATGCATGCTTCCTAATGAAGAGATCTGCCAACCAAGACCTGGTCTAGGCTGCATCTAAAAAAGTATAGTAATAGTACTACTCTATTCTGCCTTGGTCAGACAACAGCTGGAATACTGTGTCCAATTCTGGGCACCACAGTTTAAGAAGGATACTGAAAAGCTGAGACGTGCGCAGAGGAGATGGTCAAGGGTCCGGAAACCAAGCCTTATGAGGAAAGGTTGAAGGAGCTGGGTATGTTTAGCCTGGAAAAGAGGTGACTGAGAGGAGATATGAAAGCCATCTTCAAATGTCTCAAGGACTGTCACATGGAAGATGGAGCAAGCTTGTTTTCTCCTGCTCTGGAGGGTAGGACTCAAACCAATGGATTCAAGTTACAAGAAAAAACGAAGCACCAGGGAAAACTTTTGGACACTAAGAGCTGTTTGACAGTGGAACGGTCTCTCTTGGAAGGTGTGGACTCTCTTTCCTCAGAGGTTTTTAAGCAGAGGTTGGAGGGCCACCTGTCATGGATGATAATAATAATAATAATAATTTTTATTTATACCCCGCCCTCCCCAGCCAAGGCCAGGCTCAGGGCGGCTAACAAGCAATAATAAAAACAAGTTGAATGAATACAACTTAAAAACAAGATTAAAATACAACATTAAAATATTGAAACATTAAAATGCAGCCTCATCACAGGAGGAGAAAGGAAAAAGAAAGAGGGGGAGGGAATCAAATTGGCTCCAAGCCAAAGGCCAGGTGGAAGAACTCTGCCTTACAGGCCCTGCAGAAAGAAACCAGATCCCGCAGGGCCCTGGTCTCATGAGACAGAGCGTTCCACCAAGCCGGAGCCAGTGTTGAAAAGGCCCTGGCTCTGGTTGAAGCTAATCTAACTTCCTTAGGGCCCGGGACCACTAGGGTGTTACTATTTATGGACCTTAAGGTCCTCCGTGGGGCATACCGGGAGAGGCGGTCCCATAGGTACGAGGGTCTTAAGCCGTGAAGGGCTTTAAAGGTCAAAACCAGCACCTTAAATCTGACCGTGTACTCCACCGGGAGCCAGTGCTTTAGCTGAAATTCCTGCATTGCAGAGGGTTGGACTAGAAGACTCTGGGAGTTCCTTTCCAATCTACAATTCTATGAGCTCCACAACTAAAAATGTTTTAAGCCACCTGCAAAAGAACAACCTTCCACCACCCATTCAAATCGAATATCACTGAAAGACAGTTTGTTCACTAATACTGATCTTTCCCTAGAATAGGCAGCCTCAAAAGAGTGCAGTGGTACCTCAGGCTAAGAACTTAAATAGTTCTGGAGGTCCGTTCTTAACCTGAAACTGTTCTTAACCTGAGGTACCACTTTAGCTATTGGGGCCTCCTGCTGCTGCTGTGACGGCGCACGATTTCTGTTCTCATCCTGAAGCAAAGATCTTAACCCGAGGTACTATTTCTAGGTTAGCGGAGTCTGTAACCTGAAGCGTCTGTAACCCGAGGTACCACTGTATTGCCTGGCTTCGAGAAAGGATCCATTTGTGCTGTAAAATGACGTTGTGTCCTAGAAGATGTCCTTAGCAGACAAATGGAAAAGATTTGTTTATGGTAGGGTGGATTGAAAATCACTGGCTTACACCATAATCTTCACCTTTTCTTTTCACGTCAGCTCACACCTTCTGCCTGAGGTATAGGTAAAGGCAGGTGTCAACATTTGTTGCTGCTTTGATAAAATCAAGTCCATTAGCGGTTGACAGATGGCCATTCTACTCTGATTAGGTTCTGATGAAAGGCTTTTATTAACAGTTATCTGTTTAGGTCAAGAGTTGTAAAGGCAGTTTTCTGGGATGACAGGTGTGGCCAGCATATTGCTATTGCACAGCTAAGGCTGAGCAGAATGCACAACGTATATGACAATTATATAATATTATTATAATTATTTATTGAATTTATATACTGCTCTCGGGGCACTTCACATAATAAAACCAAGATATAAAACCACAAAATATCTAATAAAAATAAAAGCAACCCAATAGCCCTTCCACATACACACACACAATTTTTTTTAAAGTGCATTGGATGTAAATCAGATTAACCAAAGGCCTGGTTAAAAAGGAATGTTTTTGCCTGGCACTTAAAGGTGTATAATAAAGGTGTATAACTTCCCTGGGGAGAGCATTCCACAGACAGGGAGCCACTGCAGAGAAGGCCCATTAAAATGTGAGAAATGGGACTCGCAGTACTCTCCTGAGCTACATCCCTAAACTGGTTTGGGCATTCACGACTCAAACTCAAGATAAATTAACTTTCCTAGGCATATCATTAAGGGTATCCTGTGAAGAGAGTGCTTGAATACTGTGGCCAGAATAGCACCCTCTGGATATTATTAGACAATTCTCATCATCTCATTGAAAGAGGTGGGTTTACTTAGTGTGGAAAAGGGATGTTTAAAAGAGAAACATCAAATACCACATACTAATATTGCTATAGAAGTAACATCAGCATGCTGAAGGGTTTTGTACCTTGGCTGTCCTTTGAAAGATGGGCCCTGGGAGTCAGGAAGGGGAGGAAGGCAAGGTAAGATAACACCCTCTCCAGAGAACATGCTTAATGCTCCCATGGCAAGTTATCAAGTGACTCTTGTGTCACTAGCCAAAAAAGAACGCCCTTTTCCAAGGCATGACATCTTATTAGTTTTCCTTTTCCTAAAGTATAAGCAGAATCCACACTCACTTCCCTTCACTGTTACAAAACAGTGGGTGGAGTCATAAAGATGCCCAGAAGGGCTGGCTGAAGCATTTAAATCATTCCTGATCTTAATCTTTTAAATGTTCCTTAAGACGGCCTTGGAGGCCAGCACAGAATGCAGATGCTGATGAGAAAGTCTACTTACATCTCCATCCACTTCTCTCTCAATCGCTGAATGATCAAACCAAAGGAGATCGCTATGCCTCTAGAGCCCTAGTGACCAAGGAGCCAGCAGAGGGAGGTGTCACAATGAAGGGCGTGTCACAAGGACCTCCGCAATCTAGCAACCACCAGCACTCAACTGACACTACTCAACTGACACTACTAAGTTTCCATATATGACTTTTAATCCATGTTCAACTTTTTGCAAATATGTAGAATATGTAAAATGAAATTTATCCCTTTAACAACAGATTTCGTTGTTCCTGCACCTACTGGGCATTAGCTATCTAATCTACCTCTCTGCCTCTCTGGTGCAACTGCCACACACCAAAAGGCTATGGAAAGGGCCCTGTGTCTTTGACAATTCACAAAGTGATTCATTGCAGCTCCACAGCAGCCCTTTCCTTCTTTTCAGTGTCATCCTGTATTGCTGAACAGTGGAAAACCAGAAATCACCCCTTGCGTGTTTATTCATTTTATTCCTCTCCTTCACTAGCAGGTCCCAGGACAAGTTACAACCATCTAAAATTATTATTGTTGTTGTTATTAATTAAATTTGTATACCCCCCTATACCCACAGATTTCAGGGCAGTTCACAGGATGAGATCACAATATAAAAATACAATGTACATAATAAAAACAAAAACAACCCAATAACCTCCCCCAACACATTTTAAAAGGGCATTGGATGCCAACAGGGCGAGTCTTGAAAATACAACTCTCTGGTGTCAAAGGCCAGGTAACAGGCCCCCCAAGTGCCCCTATTTCTCAGGGACAGTCCCAGATTTACAGAAGCTGTCCCAGTTTCTGATGTGATCCTGGAATGTCCTGCTTTTCCTTAGGACCTCCCTATTTTAAATGTTCCCTAAGACTGTCATGGAGCATTACCAGCACAGAATGCAGACGAGAAAGTCTACTTAAATCTCCATCTACTTTCTCAGTCCCTGAATGATCAAACCAAAGGAGATGGCTATGCCTCTAGATCCCCTGTGACCGAGGAGCCAGCAGAGGGAGGTGTCACAATGAAGGGCGGGTCACAAGGACCTCCGCAACCTAGCAACCACCAGCACTCAACTGACACTGCTCTCAACTGACACTACTAAGTTTCCTTATATGGCTTTTAATCCATGTTCAGACCCAACACATTTTAAAGGGGCATTGGATGTCAATCAGATCAACCAAAGGCCTGGTTAAAAAGGAAATGTTTTTGCCTGGCACCTAAAGGTGTATAATGAAGGCACCAGGCAAACTTCCCTGGGGAGAGCATCCCACAGATGGGGAGCCACTGCAGAGAAGGCCTGTTCTCATGTTGCCACCCTGCAGGCTCTTGAAGAGGAGGCACATGAAGAAGGGCCTCAGAAGATGATCTCATGGTCCAGGTGGGTTCATATGGAAAGAGGCGGTCCTTGAGGTATGGCGATCCTGAGCTGTTTAAGGCTTTGTAGGTCAAAACCATCACTTTGAATTGGGCCCAGAAACTAATTGGTAGCCAGTGCAGTTGGACCAGGTTCGGTGTAATATGCTCAAACTGTCTTGCTCCAGTGAGCAACCTGACTGCTGAATTCTGCACCAGCTGAAGTTTCCGAACCATCTTCAGAGGCAGCCCTATGTATAACGCATTGCAGCAATCTCACTTTGAGCTTACCAGAGGATGGACAACATAGTTAGGCTATCCCTGTTCAGATAGGAGCGTAGCTGATGGAAGGCACTCTGAGCCACTGAGGCCACCCAAACCTTGAGCAACAGCAAAGGATCCAGGAGTACCCACAAGCTACAAACCTGCTTCTTCAGGGGCAGTGTAACCCCATCAAAAGCAGGTGACCTCCTACCCATCCGGTGTAGGGATCCACTAACAGTGCCTCAGTCTTATCTGGATTGAGCTTCAGTCTGTTGGCTCTCATCCAGTCCATTACCGAGGCTAGACACTGGTCCAGCACATCATCATCATCATCACCATCATCATCATCATACCCATCTCCATCTGGCTGGGTTTCTCCAGCCACTCTGGGCAGCTTCCAGCACATATTAAAACATAAATAAGAACTTTCTGATACATTCTCATCACAGGGTTAAAAAAGGGTTAAAAGGGGGGGTGAGTAGTTGCATTTTTCCCTTGAGGGAAAGCCAAAGCAGAATATAATACATGAGATCAAACAAAAGTGGGCGGGAACAAGTCATGATTAGAGGAGAGCGAAATACAAGCGGGCATAGCCACATGTTGTGCCCATATTTTGTCAAGACATCAAGGAATTCTGCAAGCAGAGAGGGCTTTGTTTGAAGTGACTTGCTCGCTTACAATTGGGTCACGACTGGCAAGAGAAAGAAGCTTCTCTTGGCCTAATATATAATTGTCATTACAAATTCAATCTCTGCGGCCAATAAAAAGGGACAAATGGGAAAAGCATGCGAGTACTTACTACTTCTGCATCTTATTGAGCTTTTAATTTAAAAAAGCCTGGAGGACTCCAAGGCCAGTCTTCTGGAATCTATTCTCTTTTTAGAAAGAAAGAAAGAAAACATACACACAGAGAGACACACACACACACACTAAAAAAAGTGTAATGCTCTTTAAAAAAAAATGCTGTCTCTTGCTTACTTAGGTCTCACTTTCATATTTTGTCAATCAGCTTAGTTCTCTCCCTGCCCTAGGGAGACCACTTTAAGTCTGTCATAATCACTGTATCCACCTAGCCAAATTAATTACCATATGCTCTATAGGACGCACCGGACCATAGGACTCACCTTGTTTTAGAGGGGGAGAACAAGAAAAGAAAAAAATCTCCCCCTCTCTGCTCAGCGCCCCTTCAGCGAAGCGGCAGGAGAAACAGAGCCCCTTCCATTTCTCCTCCCGCATGGCTGAAGGGGCGCTGCGCAGCTCTCCCTCTCTGCTAAAGTCAGGAGAGTCTTGCTCTCCCGGCTTCAGCAAAAGGAACCCGAAGCCTTCGGAGCGCAGTGCAAGTTCCCGCTGCACTCCGACGGCTTCAGGGATAGCAAGACTCTCCTGGCTTCAGCGAAAGGAACCCGAAGCCTTTGGAGGGCAGCGTGAGTTCCCGCTGCCCTCCAAAGGCTTCAAGCGGCTATCCCTGAAGCCTGGAGAGCGAGAGGGTTCGGTGCACACTGATCCCTCTCGCTCTCCAGGCTTCAGCGAAAGCAACGCGAAGCCTTCGGAGGCTTCGCGTTGCTATCGCTGAAGCCAAGGAGCCTGCATTCGCTCCATAGGACGCACACACATTTCCCCTTAATTTTTGGAGGGGGGAAAGTGCGTCCTATAGAGCGAAAAATATGGTACTATTTTGCCATGAAGAATAAGGGCTTCGCCACCTTTTGACAAACTTGAGGCAGACATTACAGGGAGGACTTGAAAACATCTCCAGGCAGGCTGACCTACATATCTATCTTCCCCTTCCCGACATTTTCTCATTTTACAATTTGTATCCAAACATGCAAATCACACAAAATAAGACTTGGATTAAGAAAACAGTGTAACATTTTCAAAGTGATCCCCCACCATCTGCAAATCTCTCAAAAACAAGTTGATGCCTCTTCTCCTTTAAGTCCCTTATTTAGCTCACATTTCTCCAGCAAATATTTTCTTGAACCAGCAGAGACTTATCTTCTTCTTCCTCTTCAACTCTTCTTTATTCATTGCCAGTCTATGATTTTTCCGTAACTTGTTTGACTAATACAAATTTTAAGCTCTCTGCATAGGAAATAAATAATTAGTTGATGCTAAATAAATCATAAGCTACAGTTTCACTACCATTAGGAAATGTTTGTGACCTCTCTTTCACCAGAGCATGAA